ATAACACCTGACACGCACCGCTAGGCCACAAGGACACTAAAAGCAGTTCTAGACTCTAGTCCCACCCAGTAGGTCGAGGGTTCGATTCCTTGCTGGTGAGGTCGTTGATTATATGTTCAAAGTCCGCGTGTTATATGGACTAAAAATGAAGTATATATATGTACCTCGCGTTTCATACCAGCTGGATTCGGTAAAATGCTACTGACACCACATAAGAGGCACGGGCAGTTTCCCAATGAGGTTCACGGCGCCATCAGCTCGATGAACAGGCTTTGTGTGAAATATAACAGAGTCTAGAACTGCTTTTAGTGTCCTTGTGGCCTAGCCGGTAAGCGTTCCCTAGTCCCACCCAGTAGGTCGAGGGTTCGATTCCTTGCTGGTGAGGTCGTTGATTCTATTATATATATATATATATATATATATATATATATATATATATATATATATATATATATATATATATATATATATATATATATATATATATATATATATATATATATATATATATATATATATATAGATATATATATAGATATAGATATATATATATATATATATATATATATATATATATATATATATATATATATATATATATATATATATATATATATATATATATATATATATATATATATATATATATATATATATATATATATATATATATATATATATATATATATATATATATATATATATATATATATATATTATATATAGATATAGATATATATATATATATATATATATATATATTGAAGTGATAACCGTGGTAACATTATGAGATGTTCTTATTACCACCATGCTATTGTACTATTCCAGATGATACTAAATGTTACATAATACTTCCTTGAGATAAATGTATAGTATATATCAGGTTCCTAAAAGAGAGCTCAGATTCTCAACTGGCTCAGCCATGTTAATATTGTTATTATTATCCACTCTGTATCTGTTTTTCTGGCTGAATAAACTGTTTCAATTCAATGGTGAAACCACTTATAAACATTCACGGATGATATAATACATTCACGGAAATGTAATATTTTTGCTGAAATGACGTACGTATTACAGTGGAAAGTGGGATAAAATCATGACGAAAAGAATTGACTTTTGCTTTCTTCCGTTGTTCAAAATATGTTACCGTAATCGCTTTTCGAGTGGTTTTCAGTTAAAAAACTGTTGTATTACAATAATATTCTATCCTAATTGACTTGAATAAATACTACGATATCATATTTCTGAATATTTTCATTAAAATCCATCAAAATCATTTTCCTTGTCATCGTCTTCAGCACCAAACAGATTCTCCCAGTCCTCTCCTTGAACAGGGCAAGAGGGTACGTGTTTTTCGAATCGTTTTCAGTTAAAAAACTGTTATATCACAAGTATATTTTACGTAAACTGCGCCTGAATGAATATATTCTCATAAATAAATAGTAGTTTTGCTGAAATGTGATGTATTTCAATGTAAAATAGGATAAAATACATGACGAAAACAAAAGACTACCTAACCTTCCGAAGTTCAAGAGATTTTACTCGCTTTTTTAATAGTTTTTGGTTAAAATACTGTTATATTACAATGATATTCTATTCATACTGTGCTTGATATACAGGTTGACAATCCCTTATCCGAAATCCTTGGGGCCAGAGGCATTTCGGAATTTTTCGGTTTTCAGAATGGTTAGGTTTTTTTAAGTCACTGATCCACATTGGGGGGGGGGGATATAATAATAATTATAATAATTCATAGGTCTATGTCGTGTTTCTCACTTTAACTTTTTTCATTTTTTTATTTATTATTTTATTAATACAGTATTATTGTATATTTTATTATTATTAATATAGTTATCATTATGATTTTATTTTGGTGTATTTTTTAATTAAAATTTTTATTTACTATGAATAATTATTATTATTATAATTATTATTACTATTACATTTTTGCCCTCCAGGCCCCGATGTGGGTCAGTGATCTATGCCTGGGTGGGCTAATCCCTGTTTAAAAAAAATGCTCCACAAAAAACTTTCAGTTTTCAGAGCTTTTCGGTTTTCGGAATTTTGGATAAAGGGTTGTCAACCTGTAATACATTCACGGAAATGTAATATTTTTGCTGAAATGACATACGTATTACAGTGGACAGTGGGATACAACCATGACGAAAACAATCAACTTTCGCTTTCTTTCGTTGTTCAAAAGATGTTACCGTAATTGCTTTTCGAGTGGTTTTCAGTTAAAAAAAACTTGCATTACAATAATATTCCCTACTAATTGACTTAAATGGAAATATACAATATTTTGCTGAAACTACCAGTGTTTCAGTGTAAAGTGTTGTAATAATAGTAAACAATTTGCCTTTGGCGCTCGGTGTTTCAGGCACGGCGACCCTCAGTTTAAAGGACGTAGAGTGTTTTTGCTGTTCCATTACCCTCGAGAACTTGGGTCGACCTATAAACGAGGCATATCATAAATTAATGATTTCTTGGTCAAAAAATCTGGGTCCACCTATAAATGAGGTAGAATTATAGACGAGTATATACGGTACTTAGACTTACGTACAAATCCAACTTAAGAACACTTTGGAGCGGAACTCGTTCATACCCTGGGGACCCCCTGTTCAGTATAGATTTTGTACAGATGATATGTTGCTATTTTCAAGTCTGCTTTGATGGTACAGTGATTTTTTTGTTGCAAAACTGTACATGTGGTATATCTAGCCAGTTCATGATTACTTTTTATAAATCATGTATTGAATTTGAAACACTATAGAAGTTGAATTGAAATGAAACAGTTTATTAAGCCAGAAAAAATACAGATACAGAGTGGATAATAATAACAATATTAACATGGCTGAGTCAGTTGATAACCTGAGCTCTCTTTGAGGCACCTGTTTGGTTTCATGAAAATCAAATGGAGCTATCTATTCAAGGATACTAAATTCAACATTGGTATGTCAGGTGACATGTTAATTTTGATGATCAAAGTTCAAATTGATATATACGGTACTCTGTTGTCATTTTGAATTGTTTTAGTATGTTGCTAGAAAATTTGAATCCATTTTTCGTAATCATATTGAACCAAGTTGATTTGTTCTGGATCAATCTACCGTATATTGCTTTGTTTGCTGGTTAGTACAGTATACAGTCAACCCTCGCTTTACGCGGTCCCACTTTACTCGTTTACGCGGTACCCTGCCGAACACGGAATGCTCACTTTCCGCGGTGTGTGTACCCTTTTACGCGGAGAGCGGCGCGAGCAGGGTGTGCACAAGGTCGCCCAGTCATCAAAACATTACCGAGTTCTTCACCCGCCACCCACCACAGCTGGCCCAAGTCAGTGATAGTGATAATGATAGTGAGGATGTGGACTTTGAAGGGTTTGACAAAGAGGCCCTGCAAGCCTCTGTGGTGCATAGTGATACAAGTGATACAGATGAGGGCCAATAATCTGCCCTCTGCCTCGGAACCAACCCCGTGTGCCCAGCCATCTTTTCTACTAATGTAAGTGTTAAAAAACCTAATATTATTGATATTTCTCTTAATTATTAATTGTGTGTGCATACCATCATAAAATTAAGTACCGTATATACTCGTGTATAGTTCGAGTTTTTAAGACCAAATTTTTAGGCAAAAAATTGGGGGTCGACCTATACATGCGTAATAGTTTTGTTAGGTTGAACCCGTGCATGATGGGAAGGGTGAGGAGCAACTTTTAGCTTCAGACATGAAATATATTTACCATTTACTGCCAGTAAACAATGGAAATGTAAAATTTGTACCAATTAGTAATGAAAAGTTGTGCAGTTCCTTCAGTAAATGAAGCTCACCAACTTACAATAGGCTAAATTACATTACAACGTGCTTTCAGTAGTCTATGTTGAAGTTCTTAGCACAGGCTAACTTATCATATCATATACGGTATCACAGTTCTCATGGATCTACAAAAAATACCGGTAATAAAAACCTTTTTGATATTTCACACTTAATATAATACCCGGTAATCTACTTCAACCTCCTATTGTTTACAACGACGCATCACGCACCACCAGCTGTATCAGCTAGACGGTACACGTGTTTTTCGAATTGTTTTCAGTTAAAAAACTGTTACATCACATGTATATTTTACCTTAACTGTGCCTGAATGAATATATTCTCGGAAATAAATAGTAGTTTTGCTGAAACGTGATGTATTTTAATGTAAAATACGATAAAATACATGACGAAAACAAACGATTTTACCTAACCTTCCGATGTTCAAGAGAAGTTACTCGTTTTTTTAATAGTTTTTGGTTAAAATATTGTTATATTACAATGGTATTCTATTCATACTGTGCTTGATATAATGCATTCGCGGAAATGTAATATTTTTGCTGAAATTACGTACGTATTATAGTGGAAAGGGGGATAAAATCGTGACGAAAACAATGACTTTCGCTTTCTTTCGTTCAAAAGATGTTACCGTAATCGCTTTTCGAAGGGTTTAGTTAAAAAACTGTTGTATTACAATAATATTCCCTCCTAATTGACTTGAATAAATACTTGAATGGAAATATACAATATTTTTGTTGAAACTACCCGCGTTTCAGTGTAAAGTGTCGTAATAATAAATGGTAAACAATTTGCCTTCGGCACTCGTGTTTCATGCACGGCGAGCCTCAGTTTATAGGACGTAGAGCGTTTTTAGTGAAGGTTTTGTTGTTCCATTACCCTCAAAAGCGTGGGTCGAACTATAAACGAGGAATATCGTAAATTAACGATTTCTTGGTCAAAAAATCAGGGCTGACCTATAGACGAGTATATACGGTAGTTATTTTTACTACAACGTAGGTATTGTGTCTGAAAAAGTGGAGTTTGGGGGTCGGCCCGGTCTCTATTTCAATTAATCCCATATGTTATGTTGTTACTTTACGCGGGCCGCCGTGGGTTCAATTGACCGCGTAAAGTGAGGGTTCACTGAACTAGAATTATTGTACTCACCTAACCTATATTTTTTCCAGCTGCCCCTGGAGCTAAAAAGAAGAAGAAGGTAGTCAAAAGGCATCCCAAGACAATGGACATGATCATTGAGGCTATTGAGAACCTGGGAGAGAGAAAAGGCTCAAGTGTGCAGGCCATTAAGGCGTACATCCTCCAGAACTTTAAAACTGTACGTACAGACATGGTCAAATCCATGTTGAGGCGTGCTCTCAATCTTGGCCTGGAGCAAGGTGTTGTATCACGGCCAAAGGGACAGGCAGACACACAGGTGAGTTCTTGCTGAATTACATTTTGTTTTGGAATGAAAGAGAATTAATTCTGTGTGATTAGAAACCCAATAAAATTTTGATGATTAATATATCCTGAAATTCTCCAGCTCATTGTGTGCCCTTTCATATGTACTCCACCATTTGGAAACCACTTTTTTGCTCTACCCACACCCTTGGCCACCACAATCTCATAGAAACTAAAATTTCACGCCAGGAAAGTATGTTCCATTTTAAAATACTTTAGGTATCACACAAGGCACTGCATCTGAAAGTATCTAATGTCATTGTGTTCTTTCTTATTTAGGGCTTATAAGGGCAATTGTTCTTACAGGTGATGAGTGGCAGATACCTTTTGGGCAAGTCAGCTAAGAAGGAAGATGAAGATGAGGTTATGCCTCAGCAGTCCAAACGAGCACAGGATGCAAAAAAATCAGCCAAGAAGGGTAAGAAGAAGGGTGGAAAGAAGGCCTCAAAAAAAGTGGCAAAGAGACCTGTTGCCAAGAAGGCAAGTACACCCAAATCAAAGCGACCGGTGAAGAAAACCAAGGGAAGAAAGTGAGGTGTAAAGGGAGTGTGGGATATATTTTTATTTAGAAATTGATTTATATTTCCCAGAGTATATATTAGATGGTTCATACTCATCTTTCATTATCATATATTTATGTAGCTGCTGAGCTAAATGTGTACCTAGAACTCAATTTTTATTTTATCTGGTGATTGAAGCATTTTGTGCTTCATTGTCACAGCTTATTCATCTTTTGTGATAGTGGAACCAAATGAAGATGGTTTATTCACCTGTGTAGGTGACAGAATTAAAGAAATGCCTTTTTTATTATTGTGTTTCACTTAGATCCTCTTAAGTTTGTGTATTGAAAACTTTGGTGAATAAGATATAAATTAACCTTTACTTTCAGTGATAACACTATTTTTGTTAATAATCATGGTTAACTTAAACCAATGTAACTTTGGACATGATAATGCAATGAAATTAATTAATATATGGTTTTGGATCATAAGAGAATTCATTCATGGGAAAATATTATGTATGATAAATATTAAAATGTCTGGTGTTGCATAACTGAAATAACCTCATGATAGTGGCAAGATTTGGCTTATTTCATATATTAAATAGTGAATATCATACTGGTATCAAGTTTCTGTAGGGGAAGTAGTTCTTATCTGATGGCTAGAAATAATTTGAATGTACAAAGTCATTTAGTGTGCTTATTTGGTTTGTAGATAATATGAGAACTTCATTAATCCTTAACTGGTAGGTAAGGATTCCCTACCTTTGTCCCCATATGCACAAAAATGGAATATGAGACATTGGGTGTGAAGGATAAAATGACTGAAAGAGGTTGTGAAAAGGGGAAGGATTGAATAGCTTGGAAGGAAGATCAATAACCATTTACAGCATAATCTAAAGAATAAAAGGAAACCAGTCATGAAATGCTGTCATTTTACTTAGCCATAATCTTAAGAAACTGGCTCATTGACACCTCAGGGGACCCCAGTACACAGTCTTGAGAAGGACCACTGGTCTCGGCATTTTGCAAATACAGGGGCCCCCCATGTTCGCGGATGACACCCTCAATGTACCCAAGAACGTCTGTGGGTAGTTTGGCTGGGACAGGGAGCCATTTGTTCTAGAGACATTAATTTCCTTTACCTGTACAGTCGACCCTCATTAATTTGGACCCCTTTAATCCGGATTTCGGATAATTCGGACAAAATCTGAACAAACTTTTTCTTTAGGAATATTACCTACGCGGACCTTAAGCTAAAATGATGTTCCACCCACTGCTGGGATAAAACACCAGCGTCTTTTTGGTTAAATGTAACATCACCACTAGTGTGGGGGGGGGATGCAACTTTTAGCTTCAGACATGAAAAATATTTACCATTTACTGCCAGTAAACAATGGAAACGTAAAATATGTAACAATTAGTAATGAAAAGTAGTGCAGTTCCTTCAGCAAATGAAGCTCACCAACTTACAATAGGCTAAATTACCTTACGTGTTTTCAGTAGTCTATGTTGAAGTTCTTAGCACAGGCTAACTTATCATATATACGGTATCAGAGTTCTCATTGGTCTACAAAAAATACCGGTAATAAAAACCTTTTTGATATAGCACCCGGTAATCTACTTCAACCTCCTATTGTTTACAACGACGCATCACGCACCACCAGCTGTATCAGCTAGACGGTACACGTGTTTTTCGAATCATTTTCAGTTAAAAAACTGTTACATCACATGTATATTTTACCTTAACTGTGCCTGAATGAATATATTCTCAGAAATAAATAGTAGTTTTGCTGAAACGTGATGTATTTTAATGTAAAATACGATAAAATACATGACGAAAACAAAAGATTTTACCTAACCTTCCGATGTTCAAGAGAAGTTACTCGTTTTTTTAATAGTTTTTGGTTAAAATATTGTTATATTACAATGGTATTCTATTCATACTGCACTTGATATAATGCATTCACGGAAATGTAATATTTTTGCTGAAATGACGTACGTATTACAGTGGAAAGTGGGATAAAATCGTGATGAAAACAATGACTTGCTTCTTTTCGTTCAAAAGATGTTACCGTAATCGCTTTACGATTGGTTTTCAGTTAAAAAACTGTTGTATTACAATAATATTCTATCCTAATTGACTTGAATAAATACTACGATACCATATTTCTGAATATTATCATTAAAATCCATCCAAATCATTTTCCTCGTCATCATCTGCAGCACCAAACGGCTTCTACCAGTCCTCTCCTTGAACAGGGCTAGAGGGTACGTGTTTTTCGAATCGTTTTCAGTTAAAAAACTGTTACATCACATGTATATTTTACCTAAACTGCGCCTGAATGAATATATTCTCGGAAATAAATAGTAGTTTTGCTGAAACGTGATGTATTTCAATGTAAAATAGGATAAAATACTGTTATATTACAATGATATTCTATTCATACTGTGCTTGATATAATACATTCACGGAAATGTAATATTTTTGCTGAAATTACGTACGTATGACAGTGGAAAGTGGGATAAAATCGTGACGAAAACAATGACTTTGAAATATAATGCAATATTAACCCCTAAAACGGTTAATTCGGACAATCGGCTAAAACGGACACCCTCCCCCCCCCCTATTAGTCCGAATTAACGAGGGTCGACTGTATTAGAATTATGTGTGTGTAGACACAAAAAAATAATAATTGGAAAATCCTCTCACAAATAATCAGAAACAAATTTATTTAAAATGTAACAGTCTACTCTCAAGTCCGTGCTTTATTACTTTATTAATAGAGCATGGACTTGAGGGTACACTTACATTTTTAATAAATTTGTTTCTGATTATTTGTGAGAGTATTTTCCCATTACATGTATTTATTTGTCAGTGTGTCAACACACTACATCCTCGACCACCATAGGTTCAAGACCTATTCAGGCGCTGCTCCTGCTGAGCAGCGGCTCCCCTTGGCCATGTCGGCCTATTCCTGAATTCCCTCTCCCCGACAATTTCTTTTCGGAAAGAAGTGTGAAGTGTTTAAGCCAGTGAATTCGGGAACTAGTCAGTACCAGTGAGAGCTGTGACCCACCAGTGATATAAGCACCCCTGGGGACCAGCCACCATCTGACCAAGAGGTGCTAATCCGTCCACCCTGAGAACAAAAGAGTGCCAGCCGGCTATGCACCTGACTACGAGATAACATCATCATCAAGCAAAGTGAGGTACTGTGACAACACCATATGTTTAATCTGAGTAAGTATGTATCTTTTGTGCAAAATATATGACATTTATATTCAAAATATTCCTGGTCTTACAAGGAATCCAGCAATGTCAATTATATTATCCTAACTTTAGTTTGAGGTATTATTTATTACTATACCTGGTTTTCCCCCCAAAATTTCTCAGAGGGAAGAGCCAGCAGTGTAGTGTGAGAGGGAGAGGGAGTCGAGTCCATTATTTGAATGGACATTAACTTGGCGACTGTATTTCTCTATTTCTCTTAAGTATTAATTGTGTGCATGTACCATCATAAAATTAAGATGTTATTTTTACTACAACATAGTTATGTGTCGTCAAAAAGTGGAGTTTGGGGATCGGCCTGGACTCCATTTCAATTAATCCCATATGTTATGTTATTCACTTTACGCGTTTCTCGCTTTCCGTAATATCCATTTCCTTGTACACAAGTTAAAAATGCCCCCCCCAGTTCGCAAATGTTATTTGCGGCCATTTTGATAACCTAATCCCCGCGAATTTAGGGGGCCCCCCCCCTGTATGAATAATTTTTTTTAACTATTGTACAAAGCAACCTGAGGATGGCCTGGTAGGCCAAGAACACCTGAAAAGGACTAAATGAACTTTGGAGACAAAATTAAACTTAACAATTCATAACATTATTTCTATAGACAGCAACATGCACATAAAGAACCAGCGATTGCTTTGATCATAGCTGAATGCAGGCAGGATATAAACCAAGTAAATTGTGGATTTGTAGGGCAGCTTGAACTTGTAGGACTACTGTTAATCATTAAAAGATTTTTAGTGAGACCAGTGGTAAAGTCCCTCAAAAGAGTTCCCTATACAGTATTTAATTTTCCAAAATAAAGGATGCATCACATTTCCCTGAGGAAGTGGCAGAAGTCACTGTCTAATATAACTACTGTATATGGAAGACACATAAGGACAGGTTGCTGAGCAAAAAACAAACTTTGTTTCATTTCTGTGAGGTGGTAGAGTCCAATATACAGCATGAATAACAATAACCAGGACTAAAATGACAAGTTCATGTGTGTGAGCCCTATACAAAAGAAACACATGTCCACATACACTACAGTGGTCCCAATTCGTTCCAGAAGGTCGTTCGTTAACCGAATCCATTGTTTCAATGGGATATTGGGTAATTGGTTCCAGGTCACCGAAAAGTACGTACATAGTAAAAAAAAATGCAGTAAAGTACACTTACTTTGAGGTATGTATGTAGAAGGCTCCTGGTTGATGATGATGATGGGAATTAGAAGTGGGGATGGAGGAGAAATCACCTTTCAGGGGAGCCATGCGTGATGCAGTAATTTCACCAATAAAATTTTAAGTTCACTAGGTGTAATTCAAGATTATTTTCTTTAAATCAACACTGCACTGCACTATATATTATCAACATGTTAACTAAAGTTCAGAATGACCAATAATTTTAAAGAAAAATGCAAAAATATTCAAGACACCAACAAAATAGATGCTCTCTTGACAGTAAACAAAGCCAGACTGAGCCTGTACTGCATATATTATTTATGTTAAATAAATGCTAAAATGAATAATAATTTTAATATAAGACATTCAAAAATATTAAAAAGCACAACTCTATTGATCTTTACTTCATTGGAAACGAATGTAAACATAGAACAGATTACTGAATTGGCTGAGTACTGTAACTAGTTCCCTGTACTGCATATATTATAAATATGTTAAATAAATGTTAAAATGACTAATAGTTTTAATATAAAAAATGCAAAAATATTTAGGAGCACAACTTTCTTGATACAGTGACCCCTCGGTTAACGAACTCAATCCGTTCCAGAAGGTCGTTCGTTAACCGAAACCATTGTTTCAATGGGTTTTTGGGTAATTGATTACAGCTCACCGAAAATTTCCTAAATTCAACAAAAATGGTAGAAAAGTTCACTTACTTTGAGGTGTGTATGTAGAAGGCTCCTGGATGATGATGATGATGATGATGATGATGATGATGATGATGGGAATTAGAATGGGGGTGGAGGAGAAGGAAGAAGAAAAGGCATTGGGGTGGAAGAGAAGTCACCCCAT